TTTACACCTACAGAAGCACGTTGCACATTTGAGTATTAATATAAATGTTATTACGATGTAGTCCAAAGCACATCTTAAAACAATATAAATCACTTTGTGCAGTTTAGAGACAATGTGCGATCAGCAACTAATCCCACCCTTGTTAAGTTATCACATCACTCACTATATGAGTGATGCAGGCACTTACACAACATCGCGCATAGCAGTGTGAACTCGTTCAGTCACACGTTTAATCGGGCATCTGCAACAGGCCCGCGAACGCATGCTGTTGTAAATGGCTGGCAGCCTACTTCGGCAGAGCTGCTGCAGGCGCCCAGCTAGCGCTGTATGATTACTATTTACGAAAACAGTACTCACCGTTAACAGGCCCACGTTGTCCGTGTCCGCCACTCCATGAATATTCCTTAATCCGAGCGTCACTTCGAACACGGTGTCATGCGTGACCACCATTGAATATGCGCCTGTTCGCTAGAACACACACAGCGACCAAGACCCCAGACCAACGCAACGCATTTGAAAGACGATGAGACAGAGAGAGCGACGTTGACAGAGAGAAAGAGGAGGCACTGGCGGCGGCTAAAGCGCCGCGGCGGCGCCGCAGCTGTCGACGCAGGTGTTTGGTGACGCAACTATTCGCTTATCTATGCCGCCGTTGTGGGAGCAACGCTGGCCGGGGGGGAGCGGGGGGGGGGGGGGAGAAGCGGGAAACCCGCCAGGACGGCGCCGAAGAGCAAAAGCTATGGCGCATACGGCGGACGGCCGTTCCTCGCGGAATGACTCCTTGTAAATGGCAATTCTCCTTCCAGCCAGTCGCACAGCGACGCAGGTTATTTACCAGCCTCGGGTTCTTGGAGTATTTTGACGGAATGCGATTGCAGTGGGCGAAAAATAGTGAAACAAAACTTGCGGAAAACAAAGTGCACCATGGAATGGCCAGAAACAATAATTATTTCGTCCTCGGTGGCATTAGCGGGACAGCATCGCTACACCTTTTTCCAGAGGAATTTCTTTTTGCATTGTCTGTGTTTTTGCGTATGGTGCCGCAAACACTGAATGCGTAGTCGAAGCTGGAACAAATTAATCCACAGTCGCGGATGTTTAGAAGGCTTGTCACGCACCACGAAACGTGCCGAGGTTGTTATAACAAGCTTTTTGCTGACCACATGATCAGCACATAATTCCATATGGTTACCCAATGAGCTAGCTAAGCACCTGTAGCAAAGGCAGGGCACGTTCTTGTTAAACGTTGTTAATATAAACGATGGTTGTGCATAAGTGCCGTGACAGCTTTCCGTGGGAATTGGTCATAACCCACGTTTTCGAGCGTAGAAGCACCTCAGCATACCTAATCAGCTATCACATCAAGTTCGTAAGCAACGATCAGGTACGAAAATGTGCAGCTGTTTTCCATGTACTGAATAGTCCATGTACAGTGCGTTGACAACCGCCATTCCTTAAGCCATCTCCCATATAGACTCCTAGTATGAACAGGTGTGGGACCTTAAACAATAAGAAGCAGTGCCTCCCCCCCCCGCACACACACACACACACACGAAATTCGAGGGCGCACGGGCTGATACACACGCATACTTATTCACAGGCGCACACACATACACGTATACACACATACGGTCACACACACACGCGACCGTAAACGCACGCATGCATGGGCGTAAACATGTGCACAGGCCCGCTTGACACAAGCACGGACTCGCACATACACGCGCACGCACACATGCACGGGTGTACACACAATCGCGCTTACACGCACACACACCCATACTCGGGCGAACATTATTTGTGCGTATATAATCCATAGCAAACATGCAGCTTATAACCAACGCTAAGGAAAGCTTTCGTAACATGGATTGCAGTTAATTGCCATTATAGATGAAACGCGATTTGCTTCTGCTGACATTCTGCTGTATTCGGAGAGCACCTTCACACATTCTAAGTCAATTAGGCCGTCATTTAACGCAAGGTCCACATATTCGTGCAGTAGCTGCGCTGCTCGGCTGCCAATCCGAAGGTCGCGGGTTCGATGCCGGCCGTGGCAGTCGAATTAAGGCGGAGGCGAAAAGGTAGAAGCCTTTGCACTGTGCGATATGAGCGCTCATTAAAGAACACCAAATGGTGAATATCTCTGCCGCTTTCCACTACGACGACCCTCATAATCATATCAGGTTTTTGAGACGTAAAATCCCAAATATTATAATTATGTGTTCTTCTTATGCTGCATATTCCATCTGATGAATCGGCACCTTCACTTTTCTCAGGCACAAAAGCACCCTTAGAGCCTATTTTAGGGTGCTATTGAGGCAAGCACCCAAACAAAGGGGTGCTTTTTTTTCAATCGACCATTTATGGGGGGTAAAGGGTGTTGCAAAAGGTGCTTTCTCGTAAAAGCACCCTTTTTACACCCTTTTGGGTGCAAAAATTTTTACTGTGGGTGAGGGTTAAGCTTTTAGGCAACATCCCAGACCTGGCATACCTTCACCTCCTCGACAACTATCAAATTTGGGAGGGGTGCGAACCACTCCCGATTGATTGCTACAAATTAAACTTATAAAATGAAACCAAAGGCACCGAAAGCTCCCAACACATTTCGTTGTCATTTTAGTAAATGCAACAAGAGCATGAAGTATCGCGGCATCCGGAAGTATGCCATCTCATTTTACCGCAAGGTTAAGTAGCACAGTTTATAACATGGACAAGTGCGATGAGAATGACACGACGCTCCCTACATTCGCAGTTTATTTGAGAAAAGAGCTTGATGTATATGCACCCACGTTGACGCCAAGCGACATGGATTAGAAATAATGGGCACTGAGAACTTATCCAATGATAACTTTTTGAGTACTTAACGATAAATAATCGCGGTATGTGTAGAAATAAGCTTAACAATACATGCGTTTTTACCCGCAAAACTACATACGCGCAAATGCAAGAGATAAAGCGAATCATGTGCGGCGCATACGCAGTTTTCACGCTGTTTTTTTTTATTTCTTCCAAGAGCAAACAGCAGTCAGCCATGTGAAAAGCCGCTACAAAAGCTTGTACATATTCATGGCGCTCTCCCCATGTGCTCATGTTCATCGGCGTTGTTCTGTGTGTACACTTTATGCTGTATGGTAAAAGAAAAGAATTTAACCATGTTTTATAAAGTAGTTGTGCCAAGCCACCTGCATCCCCTTACTCGTGAAGGAAGATTGTAAGGTACCCTTATGATCCATCTCCACTTAAGGGAGTGAATAGTTGCACATCAGTGGAAACTCAACCGCATCGGCAAATGATGATCGTGAAGTGCACGGTAAACTCTGGAAGACGGGTGGTGCGCCATATAATTGTAAAAAGCTTGGAATGAGCTTCGATCAAAAATGTGTTAAAAATACGAGGAATGAGCTCCGCAAGTGCGACGATGTGAATATAATGAAACGTCAATTACTGAGTATTACATGCAAAAACTTAGCTATGTTGGTAATGAATGCCCTTTTGTTTTCACTGCTTGTTCTTTACAGCATGGTAAAGGTGTTCTTTTGGAATGCAGCCGTCATAGTCAAGAATCCAACCCGCGTACTTGAACTTGGCAGCGGCGAAGTTAAGTTACGAAGTCATCATTGCTGATCGTGCATGGTACGAGTGCCCTGATTAAGCGCATAAAACACGACGGACCAAACCTACGTCCAGAAGTTACCTGCGCTACGAAGAGTGAACGTATACATTTATGACAAGGATGCAGCAATGCTATTGACTGGGAACATCGCAAACGCACGACAGGATTTTTACTGACAACACTAGCGCATCCATGTTTCATGTTACAAGTTTGACCTACCTGCCTTTTACTCAACCTTAATCTCTCTCTCTCGCTCTTTCTGTTATGCGTTTTAATTACAAAAGAAACGTCGGTTTCAGTGTTTGGCTTGGTATCCTCACAAAAATGTTAGATTCTGTTTTTTCTGCATGATGCTGCGCCTTTCTATTTTGTCAGCAATTGATGAATGCCTAGAAATTTATAATATTACCAGTTCATCATTTAAAATGCCTTTCCTTGATTGCCATCTGAACTTTTTTCAGTTTTTTTTCTTCATAGATATGTTTGAAGGTTACGATGGCCCAGCAAAATGCCCTTCTCCTAAAGAACATAGGGGAAGTTTCTATTCGCTCTAAATTCTGAAATGAAAAAGTGGTCGAGTACTGCGCTATTTCACGCGCAAATAAGCGCATTTACACACTGCCGGCTGAAGGGTGCGTGGTGCTGGGAGTGCCTACGAGAGGCTCCCAAAGGGGCACGTCGATTGCGTGTACGGACGGAAAATGACAGCGACAGCTTGATAGACAATGTTGCGCCACGTTCGTCTTCGAAGATGACGGATCCCAGAAGTGTGTTGCGAAACGGCGATTGCCGAAAGGTACCTCATACACTTTTGAAGCGGCTGACGCCGTAAGCTCATCCTTGTGTCACTGGGTCGAATCCTATATCCCATTCCCGTATAACGCCCAGTTTGCACTAAAATGCGGACACACGATCATCCGGAAGGCAAAGAAAGAACCCGAGTAAAACGAATAGATTGACGTTGAAGCGTACGACATTTAAAGTTATAATATCGTGACTTCTTAGGGCGCGCTTTCCTACTATAGTTATGAACAAAAAGAGTAGATGAAGGCAGGCTGCTACATCTCATTCGAGTGCGTCTACACTTACGCCCAATAAACAGCCCCTTTTAGGCTTTATACGATTATACCATAGTCTCAATGGGACAGAGTACTGGTGAAATACATGGTTTGACGATGCAGCAAGTTATACGCCTATTGGATGCGCAATACCGCCTAGCGGCGCCGGAATGTAGGTAATCTTGTTGGCTTCCAGCCACCAGTTACAGGTGTTGGCAAATTGTTATAAGGAGCACTTGTCTGGATGTCAATATTGTTTAGTTGCATCTGTTTGACCCTGTCTACACGGTGGATTCATCAGATGCAAAAATTAGCAAAATCACTCGTACCTGCCATGGCCACTCTCCAAACTCGGCCTCGCCTTTCCCGTCCTTTGTGAGAATACGGCTGTTGATGCCGTTGTCGTTACGGATGCCGCAAGAGGCCACATACGGCGTTTCCGTGACGGCCGACGGCTCCGCACAGCAGACCTGGTCTACGCCAGGGCACTGCTGGTTTTGGTCTCCGAGCCCATCTAGAGGAATCTCTTCTTTAGGAGGTAGCTTGCGGCGTGCATCCAACAAGCCGCCACCATCCTCGGAGACCTTGCCTTCCTTGCATTGGTAGTAGGGGACGCAAACGCACTCGCCCAGTGGTACACCTCCCTCGGGGCCTGTATTAAGTAGTCCCCAAATTGAGCTGAATATGCAGTGTAGGAAACACCACTAAAATGAGCTGAAAGAACTATGTAGGATTTACCACTAGAATAACCTTGCAGGGTTTGGCCCCCAACGAGTAGAAGGCTCGTACAAAAGTCACTCCCTAAACGAGCTGAGAGGCTGCTGCATTGGATGTAGTCACTTTCGAAGGAACTGTCGAGTCCTGTTCTGGGCATGAAGAGCTCTTCGTCTAGGCATCAATGTGTTGGGTATTGAATTCAAGCCATGCATTATTACGTAACACGGGCCAACTGGCCCAGCATTGCATTCTGTCAAGTTTCTTTTTGAATCGCACTAGTTTATTTTCATTTTGGGACCCTTGCCTGTATATTTGTTTATCTTGTAAATTTTGAAAGCAATGAACTGCAACTCAATAAAGAGCTGAAGGACCTGTTTTTGGGTCACCCCCAAAATAAGCTGAAGGGTCTTCGCCCAGGTAGGCCAAGTCCTTCTGCGGCGGCAGAGGCTGTGGCGGGGGCAGGCGGACGTGAAACTTACCGGCCAGGCTGTCACCCTGCTGCGCCTGGGCCGTCAAGCACGCCGCCCCAAGTGTCGTCAGCAAGAGCCACATGATGCAAGCTGCGTCTCTGCACACACCGTACCACAACGTTTGACTACAGAGGACAGAAAAATGCTTCGGCGAATGTATGGTCTGACGTTCTCAAATCTTTACTGCAGTATCATTCTTGCACGGGGAAGCTATCGCTGCGCATAAGAAAACGTGAGCTGCTGCTCACGCTCTTGTATAGAATTAGAACACGAAAATAGGCAAAGTTTAGCGTATAAGATTGTTGATCAAGAAATTACCACAGTGACGAAATGTTCCTGCACCCTAAAGAAGGCCTTCAATGACTTAAACACTGCAAGCATGCATTTTCTATTGAGGGGCCTTGCAGTGTGTTTCACGAAGTGCCGTCCTATGTTTCCAGTATCTCGGACTACAGACACATACTTACAAGCATATCGCTATGTTCTGATGCGGTGATCCCCAGAAGCATTAATGAGAACATCACTTTTCCCCATAATTTGACTACGTCTACTGCACAGCAAAGGCTTCGCATATTCTGTACACCCCACAGAGCCAAAAAGAAAAAAAAACACGTCAGGTCGAGTTCGTCGGCCAGCTTCGAACACCGAGCTCTAACACAAAATTCACCAGAAAAGCTTGCTGTGAAGGCTAGCATACTTATTCCTTGAGTAGCAGCCTGCAGAATCAGCATAATCGTCAGCAGGAGGCATCGGCGTAGAACACAAACTGCCCGAAACAATCATCTAGCTGAAGCTGAGAAATTATTGTTTCGCACATCTATGTAGAAGTGACCGTTTTCTCAGGCGTGATAAGACTTTCTTGCGGGAAACTCATTCTTAAGGCGTAGCGGATCACGTCAGGTACAGAGAAATAAACACGCAGCACGCACACAGCTGTCCTTGTCGTGAGGCACTACGCCATACAAAGTATGAATAACCATGTAGCCCGGCAATGTGTCCTAAGTAAATTTTCCACCTTTATCAAAGACAAATCATCAAAGGTGCCAAGGCGGCCAGTAATGACATTGGTGACAAGGCGCGAAAAATACTGTGCAGGGAAATGAACCCGCACTACACTCATAAAGCCACTGCAGAGAGAAGCCAGTTCGAAATTATGCGCTCTCAAATGTTTGGTGTTTTGTAACAGCTGGCACAACAGGTGAGATAACTTGCACACCCAAGATGCTACCTGGAATGCAGTAGCAGCTATAGTAGGAGTACTGCAAGTATACGTTTTACTTTTACATCTACCATCGGTTGACCAATACACTGCCGCTCCGATTCCCTCAGCCAAGACATTACCGCGCCTCATGGATGCACAAACGAAAAAGCGCTACATACGAGTTTCGGTGCAAAATCGTCACGTGGTCGTGCACCCAGCAGACAGAGATCGAGACATTATTAGGGAGAACTTGTGCCCTCGAATGGAAAGCACAACAGGCGTGTTTCAACGCTAAAGTGGAGAAGCCAGCTTGAATATACTTTCCGGCCTGCTACTCAGCAATAAAAGAACAGAGACGTTATTAAAAAAAAAGAAAACCAGTGCAAAGTACAAGCACTGCACACTTGCCACGTTACATTTCCCTAGTTTTGTTATCGACCCAAAACACTACACAATTCACAGCGCAAACCACGCCTGCAGTTTTTGAGAAGCTTCAAGCACTGCACACTTGCCACGTTCCATTTCCCTAGTTTTGTTATCGACCCAAAACACTACACAATTCACAGCGCAAACCACGCCTGCAGTTTTCGAGAAGCTTCCGGCCTGTACTAGATGATTTCGATAAGATCACACCTACTCTGTGAACTGTACAGATTATTCTGGAACCTACGCCACCGCCAGCGATAATATTAGAACATTCGACGGCAAGAATATAAATGCCGATGCGCTTTGCCGCTTGTCAGTAGTTGATCGATGGCCAACGCTCTGATCGCCGCTATCAGTCCAAGACTGCTACTGTAATCGGTCATCCCGTTTACCGGGCACAGGTTCGCCCAAATAAACAGTTAAATTCTAACGCAAAGTCTCCTGTCTTCGGCAATGTCACGACCCCGTGACATCTGGTGGAGGTGCTGCTTCTTTGATGTTCCGGACGCCCCCTTCAATCCGCGACCCCCGCCCAAGCGGCAAAGAAGACACGGACGCTAACCCTGAACAGCGAACAAGCCGCAGGCAGAGGGGACTACAACCAGAGTACGGGCCCCTTCCTGAAGCAGCCAGGCAGACCCGGATCCCGACATCAACTACTGCAACCATTACCGCCCCCCTGCAGCCTGCACCACTCCTGCTCCGGCAACCCAATGAGCCGCCAAATTTCCGCGGTTCGCCACTTGAAGACACGGAAAGCTGGATCAAAAGGTTCGACCGCGTTGCCGCCTTCAATGACTGGACAGACGATTACAAGCTCCGGCATGTGTATTTTGCCTTAAACGATGTTGCTCGGACTTGGTTCGAGAATCAAGAGCGAAGCCTTACAACGTGGGACGTCTTTTGCGCCAGCTTCCTCACTACTTTCGCAAGTGTGGTGCGCAAGGAGAAAGCTGCAGCTCTTCTTGAAACCCGCATGCAGATGCCAAACAAAAACGTGGCGCTGTTCACGGAAGATATGATTAAACTTTTCCGCCATGCTTACTCCGACATGTTCGAGGAGAAGAAGGTCCGTCTGCTCATGCGAAGAATAAAGCAGGAACTCTTCGCCGGGCTGATCAGAAACCCGCCAAAGATGCTCGCCTAATTCATTTCAGAAGCATCTACCATAGAGAAGACGCTCGAGATGCGCACGCGGCAATATAACCGTACCTGCTCGTCTACAAGCTACGCCGGCATTCAAGGGCTTGGAACCACTGAATTGCGTGAGACGATCCAAGCGATCGTGCTAGAAGAGCTGCGAAAATTACTTTCTTTAGCGCAGCCTCACGAGGAATCCATCGCGGACGTCGTACGCCAGGAGATCCAGCAATCGCTGGGTGCCACCAGCACGTAGTGGGTTGACAGCAAAATCGGCTCTCAATCTGGAGGAAAATAGAAGATCGCGTCTTTTTCTTCTCAGCTCGAGAGCCAGCCACGACTGACGCGTCATCCTAGTGCTAGCTACCCGGTGGTTTAATAAATTCCCCAGTACTTGTGACTCATCGTGACAAACTGGTGGAAGTGCTGGGTAGACCCCCCACCCAGAAAGCCGTGATACGAGTCCAGTGCCAGTCAATACTCCCGTGCATCGGACCAGCCGCCGAATCGGAATTGCCTCCGAAAGCCGACGATACTGCTCCCACCACGTCGACAAATATGACCAGCGCTTCGGTGCGAACCTCGGCAACCAGCACGGGAAGCACGACGTCGAACCGCTACACGTTGGAAAGCCCACGCGCACCGGCGACGTTCCATGGCACGGAGCACGAGGACGTTGAGGACTGGTTGGCGGACTTCGAGCGCGTAGCCACCTTGAATCAGTGGGACGACGTGGCGAAACTGGGTCGTGTCTATTTCTATCTCAAAGATGGGGCACGTACGTGGTATCAAAACCGAGAGGAGCAGCTGACGACGTGGCCCGAATTCTCTCTTAGACTTCTGCAGACCTATGCCAGTGCTGATCGCCAAGAACGAGCTAAACGAGATATTCTGGCCCGCGTCCAGTTGCCAAACAAAACGGTTACCACGTACGTCGAAGACATGACGCGCCTCTTCCGACGGGCCGATTCAAGAATGACGGAGGACAAGAAGTTGCGTCACTTGATGCGCGGTGTCAAAGACCAGCTTTTTGCCGGCCTCGTGCGAAGCCCTCCGAAGATGGTCGCGGAGTTCTTGTCCGAGGCCGTGACAACGGAAAAAAATGCTGCAGCAGCGATCCAACCAATACGACAGGCAAGTCAGTCGCACGTCTACTGCCGACATTTTCACCGCCACTAGAACCAGCAACGACTGTCTACGTGAACTCATCCGTGATATAGTACGTGAAGAGTTAGAAAAGGCTAGTGTAACACCTCATCCTACGGTTAGCTCTGTTGCAACTGTGATCAAGGATGAGCTGCACCAGGCCCTCCGGGACACGTTGCTTCCTGTTACAGCTGTGCCATCTCCTGCCGAATACCGTCGTGAGACAACCTAGGCGGAGGCCTTGAAACGCCCTGCTGCATCACCGCCATTATTCGTCCATCCTGTTCCGGCTGTTTCACTACAGTCAGCCCAGCACATACCGTACTATAAAGGCACGTACACGCCACCACCGTTGGCCTTTGTCCCTGGCCCTTCTGTCGCCCATCGTTCAGTGGAACCAGTTCAGTACATTGACGATCGGCGTACGTCTCCTCGGAAGTCTGATGTTTGGCGCACACCTGATTACCGGCCTCTATGCTTTCACTGCGGAGAAGCTGATCACTTGTACCGCCAGTGCCCATATCGTCGTCTTGGGCTTCGCGGCTTCTCTGCGTACTCACCGCCACCCCGTTATGGCCAGAGACTACGCGAAATCGAAAACTACCTCTCCCAGCAGCATACACCAGAACCCCTACCGCGTGTCGGCCAAAGAACGTGAAGCGATACGTACGCAAGTCAGCCAGATGCTTGACGATGGCGTTATCAAACCATCTAACAGCCCGTGGTCATCTCCAGTCATACTTGTCAAAAAGGACGGGTCGCTACGCTTCTGCGTCGACTACCGAAAGCTTAACAACGCGACGAAAAAGGATGTGTATCCGCTGCCGCGTATCGACGATTCGCTGGATAGACTTCGTCGTGCCCGCTATTTCACTTCTCTAGATCTCAAAATCGGGTATTGGCAAATTGAGGTAGATCAGCGAGACCGTCAGAAAACAGCCTTCGTGACTCCAGACGGCCTATACCAATTTCGAGTGCTCCCTTTTGGCTTGTGTTCAGCGCCTGCAACTTTCCAGCGAATGATGGACTCTGTCCTGACAGGGCTTAAGTGGCAGACTTTTCTTGTCTACCTTGATGATGTGGTGGTCTTCTCTACCACGTTCGAGCAGCACCTTCACCGCCTGCGCAGCGTGCTGGAGGCTATCCGATCGCCGGACCTCACACTAAAGCCACAGAAGTGCCACT